CCTGAGTTTTAGAGAAAATAGAGCAAGCCTTATAGTTTTGTAATAATTACATTGGTAGTTTCATTTTCATCAATAATTCGTTAATCATAAAATGATGGCATTTTTTTTACACTAATATATATATATGTGTGTGTGTGTGTGTGTTTCTCATTTATATCCATGTCTTTCACACAATCTGTATGAATTCTGGTACTTTAAGCATTACTAAAAGCGTGACCAATACAAATATGCTAAAACTATGGGGTGTGTTTTATTTTATTTACTGCACCTCTTGGTTTTGATTTTACCTGAGTCACTGAACTTTATTCTCAACATCTACCAGTAATATGCTGCTAAAATTAAATAACACCCACTGCAAGAAGGCTGTTGATTCACTTTTTAATATCAATAGCACTACCATCAATATCTAACCACGTTCATCTGTAGGTAATCATCCCTAGGGCGATTTGGACAAGTTATATCCAAGAAAAAAGAAAACACAAAATACTAGAAACTTAAACTTATAATAGCATTCTATGATCTGTTTACTCTCATCTTTATCTTTTTACTTTTTTCCTTTTTTGTTTGACATTATTTTTAAATCTAAATTGAAGAATATCCATACAGCATTATTTGAAATTAGCAAACATTATTTTTAGATCTTTAGAGAAAACAAGCACAATTAAAAATATCTATACATACCAGCTGAAACTGAGCCATGTGATGTACTACCGCTACGTGATGCGGTAGGAAGACTGCCTGGTGGATGCCATGATGCCGGTGGATCGGGTATGACTCTCATCTTAAGTGTGGCATGAGTCTCATCTGAACTAGAACTATTAGAGCTTGATTGCTCACTCGCACTAGAAGAACTCTCGGAGCTAGAACTCATAAATAATCTATAAAGAAACTACAAACATAAAAGTAAGGACATGATAATCTATAAAGAAACTGCATTCAAAACAGAATAAGAGTACATGAAAGGTAAAAATGGCCATTTAAAGAAAACTACAAAGGTATAAAAGCAAAGATTTTATTAACATGAATATCCGTACAGAAAACACAAATGTAAAAGTGAATATGCAACCAATTACAATATCATATCATTTCTTCGTCATCTTCAAATGGTGCCTCTGTCGATGCTTCAAGAGATCCAATAGTTTCATCAACAGTTGTTCCATCAAAACCTTGCCTAACCCAATCCATGTCCTCCTCACAAGTGAAGGAAGCTACATCTAACTCTTGATCACCAAATCCTTCCACTTCGTTGTGATGTAGTCCTTCATCAATAGTTGGTTGTTCTCCACACACCTCATACAAGTCTCTAGGTTTCATCTTGAGTACAACATTCCAATCTTCATCAACAGAATCATTAACATAAAAGACTTGTTGTGCTTGAGATGCTAGGATGAATGGCTCATCACTGTCTTGTTTCTTCGCATATAACAAGTCATTGAAATTAACAAGTGTAAAACCAAAATCATCCCGCTTGAGTCCCTTATTGTTGTCAATCCAGTTGCACATGAATAACATGTATCTATGGTCATGTGAGTAATACAATTCAATAATATCTGTCACATATCCATAGTACACTACATCACCTTCCACTGGATTAATGTCTTTCGCACTTGCATAGCTAGAAGTCTTTGCCTTCACCATAACCCCACTATTCTGAGTTTTTCTTCTCAACTCACGACTCCTAGTATGATACCTAGTACCATTAATTATATACCCATTAAATCTGGTGGCCTTTCGGCTGGGTCCCAAAGCCAAAATTTTAATCTCTTCTGACAACAAAAAAATAAATAAATCAGATGTTTTCAAATTCAATAAGAGCATCTCTTGTTCATTTGACAATTGTAAACCAACCATATCAACTGTGAATCGACTCGCAAATTTCTTGAAATCGCGGATACACATGATCCAATTGATATATCCCGATGCGTCGATATTTAAAACATGATATATATATATATAGATAGATAGATGAAATAAAAATTATTATACTTACAGAGAGTGTCATTGACTTGAAACCTCATTCGGCCAGCCCAGTGATTGTAATTCTCAGAAGGGTTTAAGACCCACCCTTCTTTCCCACCCACGTTGAACTGATAAGCCTCTGACCAACCCATTAAGACCACCACTACCAACAGGCAAAGCGATCTCCGAGAACCCATATCTATATCTATATTACAGCGATGATGCAAACTAGTTTGATTTGATATGTCTCTCTGTATATATACAGAGACAGATAAAGTGAGAAAAGTAAAAGAAACGAAGCTTCAAGGAAAGGACCAGAACAGAGAGAGTTCCAAAAGGCAAGTTTGAAAACGATAGAGAAGGAAATGATATAGAGATGGGATGGGATGGGATTATATAGGGGGAGAGGGAGATCACCGTTTGTTGCAGAGAGGAAGCAATTTTGGAAATGGCGCTCTGCTTAATATGATCACATTAGTAATAAAAACAGAATCTTACGTTTTTATTTTTTTCTGGGCTATATTTGTCAATTTTCTTACGTGGCAAAATTTTATAGACTTAACGGATATAAAAATATTTAATATAATAAAGAGGCAACGTAGCTGCATGAGTTGGCAATTCCTTCACAGCTCAGGAGCTTTCTGGCTTCTAGTCCCTCTTGTGGGTGGGACCCTTCTTTGTTTTTGCATTTTATTTTGTGAAAATTGGTACTTTAATTTTCAAATTATTTGAATTAAAAAATTTCAGTTTTTATTTTTAAATTCATAACTAAACTTAAATTTAATTTTTTTTTTCAAAATTTATAATCAAACTCTTTTCAAAATTTTATTTTAAAAAAATTCAAATAAAATATTTTTTTATTTTATTCTTTAAATTATTTTTTATTTTTTTTAAAAAAATATTATTTTAATTTTTATTTTTGAAGAAAAATATTTTTCATTTTTTTATTTTTTTGAAAAAAATATTTTGTTAATTTTTTAAATATTAGGCAAATAATTTGTTATGATTTAGATATATATCGGCAATCCAAAATTTTAAAAATTAAAAAAAATAAGAAAATTAAATATTTAAAAAGTAAATAAAAAATATTATAAATAAAATAAAATACTTAAAATAAAAATTATACATTTAACATAAAAAAATAAAATTTTAAATTTTTTTAAATATTTAAAAAATATATTTAATATTTGGAAAAAATAAAATACAACACACATTAAAAAAATAATTACAATAAAAAATATTTACCATACAAAAATAAAATTAACAAATTTTTTTTAAATATCAAGAGGAATAAATCGAAAAAATTTCAAAACTCAAAATACAACTTAAATTTTTTTCAAAACTAATTTTAAAAATTTAAAACTTAAAATACAACTCAAAACTCAAATCATGATTCAAAAACTAAACCAAACGAAACATAAATCTTTTTTTTTCCAAGTTATTATGTAACATCTTTATTCTTTTAATCTCTTATTTTGTACCTCACCATTTTGTTGAGATTCAACAATTTCTCATTTAGAAAAAAAATACTATAGCAGAATAAACCATTAATTCATACTCTAATTTTCTTTTCTCAATTAGAAAAAAATACTATATTTGAATAAACTATTCATACTCCAATTTTCTTTTCCAAAACATGACATAGGGTACTTATTAATGAATTTAAAATAATCTACAGATTTTGTGGTAATGGAGATTTTTTTTTAAAGATAGGTTGTGGTAATGGAGATTCACACTCAAAAACAATTTAGTTAAAATTATGAAAAATTTACCTATAAATTTCATCTTGGGTAATGGTGATTCATTTAGTTTTAAGGATTTTTTTTATAGACCAATTAGTCCCATTAATTTTGAAAATATAGATTTAATATATTATTTAAAAATTAAATTTACGATTATACCCTTATATGTTCCTTATCTTTTTTTTTTTCTTTTGTGTTAGAAAGGTAAAATACACAATAAATGTGAATCAAATTTGGGATAAATTTTTATATCAAAAATTTTTTTATTAGGAAAATGTTTTAAAAGGAATACAAAAATGACTTAAAATATGGGATTCTTCAAACCACTACTACAAAAATAGATAAAGATCACACTTTTTTTGTGTGATGTTTGTTATTTAATCACACCTTTTAAGTTTTATTAAAGTGTGATCTTTGGGAGTGTGATTAAAAGGGGTCATTTTTAATCACACCTTTTAAGTGTGATTAATAACATTTAGATCACATCTTTTAAGTGTGATTAATAACTAATAAAATATGTGATAATAAACATTTAGATCATAGATTTTAAGTGTGATTAATATCTAATAAAACACGTGATTAATAATAAGATAAGATCACATGTTATATGCATTTGAAAAATGTAATACACACTATATACTATATTTTGAATCACAACCATATATTGAATGGAATAACGTCATATATTTCATAAATGAAAGTTAAATGTTCAAAAAGTATATACAAAGGAATTAGTAAAAAGTTTTTAACTGTGGTTACATATATTAAAAAATAAAAAACTTGAAAAAACTAAGTTGTTGAATTCTTTGACCATATTTTGCATTTCTCCAAGAAATTTCTGACCTAAAAAATAAAAACAAAAATTAATTCAGAAACCGCTAGAAGCATATGAATAAACTTATATTTTTGTAGAGACTTACAAAAGACAAAAATCGAACATTTTCTCATCACACTGACTCTTATCTCCTGTATCAATAGAAAAGGAATAACAACTTTGATTGTTACTAATATAAAATGTTTGGATGACCATATATAAATATGACATATACATAGAATCAATAAATCCAAAATGAAAATCTTCAATGTATGGGCAGATATTTTTAAGTCATAAAACCAAATATACATAGAATCAACAAATCTAAAATGAAATCTTGAAGTGATTATATATTTTTTACCAACTAAAGAAATTGTTGATTAGTAATTTAAAGAACGAAAGTTATATCATACTTTACATTGGATTTCAACTCATATTCTTTAGTACGAAATTAATCCATTCAACTCGCACTTCATCACGTTCGATTTCCGTGTAAGTCTTTTTTCCATTGAACTGCAAGAGGTTATTTACAAACAATTAGATAATGAAAAAGATGTACAAGTATCATGAATATAATAGTAATAAAAGTTTAGAATTTATCTCACATTTTGTTTTCTTAGGATGCTTTGATCTCTAATGAGGTCTTTCATATACCGCATTACATAAAACCCACATTCTACGTTTGTAGGTTGTTGCGGGGACGACATAAAAGCATTTTCATTATTATTAGAAACTATATATAAAGTGTTATGATCAAGCTGAACAATCATTAGCATAAATATAAGTATGATAAAATTAGAGAAAATGATATTGATTACCTGAACTACTTTCCAAACTGGATTGGTCCTCCTCCTCCTTTGGATAGTTTCATAAATTTTCAAAGCACTTTACAAAAGAAATTCCAGATGTCAAAATATTTTTAGAGTAACTCAAATTGTTTTAAAATGTACAAACTAGCCAAACTTACGTGTTTATTACAATTTCAAAGCTTGTGTTTATTTTAGAATTAATCGGATCAAGCAAGTACACAATCATCAATGTTAGATCAATGACTAACAATATCCAATAGTACCTACAATTGAACAAGTCACAAGTACAAGCTTAATAAGTTTATTATCATTTGAGCACATGAAATAAATAATTTTAGATAATTACCCAATATTATAAGGAATTAAAATTAATTGTTCTAGCATAGCTTCCTCTAATCTTCTTGCAAACAACACTGATTTTGATTTCTCCCCAGCCATAATTTTTTCACTAACGACACAAGGGTTAACAAATACAAATTGTTTCCTCCAATTGGAAGCCTTCAACACTTGATGAAGATGACTAATAAAATAAACAAATTTTAATTAAATTCGCAATTCATAAAATCTGCAGAAATAACTATTGATGTAGCAATTTTTTCTTACTTTATGTACAACATGATACATGTAACAGATAATTTTTTTACATGACATATGTACTCCATGTCTACTCTTTGAAGTTGGATATTGATCTCCTCCCCAAATGTCTTTCTCTAGTGGAATGTCTATGGCTTCATCATACTTGATATGCTCAACTAATGAAACAAAAGATTGAATGGACTCTTGATATTTTCCACATTCAACATTAATTGAAGCTCCCTAAGTTTAAAATTTTCAAAATAAACAAATATATGTCAACTTTAACTTTAAGAAATTGTAATAAAGTTTCTAAGTTTGAATATTTACCTCATCATTGACCAATACAAGATTTTTGGGCCAAGCAACAAAAAATCCCACTGCTTCTCCAACAATAAGCATCTTATCTGGGATAGGTATAGGAAGAGGGGCATCTTTTTGAATAACAGCTTCAACAGACACACGTACATTGGATTCTCCTAATGGCACCGTATGAATGGCTTCATTGTGTTCAATTCTCTCGTACACCGTACCATGAGCAACAATATTTTCAATGGAACCTATCGCGAGTTTACATGGTTTGCCCTATAACACAAAGTTAAAAATGTAACTTCTAATAATATCACTAACGACATTAGAAATTATAACATCAATAGATAAAAACTACACACCTTTCTCTTATTTTGTTTATGATCTTGAGGTGGAATGTCTTCCTTAGTTCTCACCATATTTTTTGCTAATAAAGAATCATGCTGAAAATTGCCTCTATCACCACTTTTCAATGTGTTTGAACATTTGCTCTATAATAAACACACAGATAACAACAAAAGCACTAATAAAATTACTAACAGTATTAGAAAATATAACAATTTTAGGTGTTCTAAATGCTACACACCTTTAAAATCTTTTGGGTAAGAGCTTGGGGTGGAATGTCATCCTTAGTTCTTACTCTGTTTTCTGTTAAGAGAAAATCAGGCTGAAAATTTGCTTCATAACCACTTCTCAAGATGTTTGAACTAACATGTTCAGATTCTGGTGTATATGGTATTTGTTGTTCCACTGCACTAAGCCTAGCTTGCAATTGTACCACCACTGCCTCAAGATCATTACACTTCTTCTCCCAATGTGACTGATTCCCACGTCTAGGCAAGTGAAAGTAGGTTCTAGGTGTGACAGAATTTCCTACACCCCTTACTCGACTAGAATATTCAGGAGTACCCAATGCCATAGTAAGAATGTCATTGCATCCTTCAATCTTTAAACCCCCATCACTTTTTTGTTTGGTCAACTCATCCTATAATATTACATTACTATATAAGAAAGATGAATAGTTAAGATAATATAAAATAAATGCAATCAGTACACACAAATATCTTACAATTTTCGCAGCTTGTTCCATAATTGTCTTGTTGTCATCATATTCTACATTTTTATGACGAGCCTTTTTCCATAGAACGCTTCTGTCCAAATCTTCAATATCCGGTCATACGTTTCTATCAATTAAACATACATCAATTTTTCAAAATAATGATATCAAAATTGTTATTAAATAATAAATTTTATAACCACTTACATAGTCTTCTTGAAAGCGAGCATAGCCCTTTCAACTAATTCTATGGTTATACTTATTTTGACTTCGTCTCCATTTCTGAACCTGGTTCAAAATCTTTGAAAATGTAACACACAAAATTAATCCAAATGTATAGCATTTAATATTTTTTTTAGGTGAATAAGTCATAAAATAAAACATAAAATTTACAAGATTACAAGGGGCATGCCACTGTTATTACAGAACTATACGAAGTTCGATGGGTCTAGCATTTAATACTGACATTTTAAATAACTAAAGTTTGATTATTTTTACCTCAAACTCTTCTGATAGTTGCTTTTCAAGAAATGAGTCCCAATGTCTTTGTTCAATGAATCCATAAATTGCTGGTGGGTTTGATATGATCTCAGGATTGGACTTGTTTTCACGTATGTACTTGGTAAGTTCTTTCTTGAATGTCCTCCATTTTGAACAAATTGAAGATAACACATCTTTCTTACTTCTTTCATCCACTTTGTATGTTAACTGACTAGTCAAAAAATATAACGTTATAAAATTCTAATTTTGATTGCACTTAAATACATGCTAAAGTGTCTTACTTACCTCCACACAACTCCATAATTTTTCTTTCAGTTCAGCTGGCACCGCAAACCAGTCATTATAGCATATCGGAATCATTGTGCGAGCCAACACCCCATGATAGCTTGAACATTTGATTGAATTGTTTCCAATCAATTAACCATTCTCGTTATAGTTAACGGCTTTTCGTACACCAGAACTCATATCCTTTATGACATCCGGTAATATTGTCGAACCTCTGCCTTTTCTTTTATTAGATGTTGGTTCTGTTGCTGGTAACCATGCATCCTCTCCATCAATAGGCAGGACATGAGAAGTATGCATCCTGTGAATAAAATAAATAAAAATTTAAGAAAAAAATGTCAAATAGTTAGACAATTAAACATAAAGACATGAAGAAAATGAATATAAGTCAAATATTTTAACATGAAAATACAATACTTAGACATACATTTTTACAAAGACATTTTTTTTTTCATCATGGATTATCGAGCCAAGTTCCCTCACAATCTCCTCGCATGTAAGATGACATAGAATCATCAACCACATCTAATGATTCAACTTCTGGCAAAACTTTTGTAAAGTCATGATGCTCTGTACAAAAATCATTGAACTCATCATCCTTTTCACAAGAATATTGTTTTTGAGGAGGTTCTAGCACAACTGACCATCTCGGATCAAGTTGATCTTGTACATAAAAAACTTGCTTAGCTTGGGAAGCCAAAATGAAGAGATCGTCTTTATGGCCTATCCTCCCTAACTCAACTAATGTGAAACCCAACTTATCCACTCTAATTCTCTTTGTGTTGTCAACCCAATCACACTTAAATACCGGAATCTTGAACATATTGTAGTCAAGTTGCCATGTCTCAATAATAACTTCATAGTAACTCATATCAGTAAACACTGGGTTCTTATCCTTGTAACTTGTCACATGCATTGTTGTTGCCACTAAACTAACTCCACTGTTTTGGCTAACTCATGAGTTATCCTGATCTTTTGTGTGATAATGGCAACCATTAATGATACAGCCAGGGAATTTTATAACATCCAATCGAGGTCCTTATGCTAACCATTTCAAGTTATTTGAGATATTATTTTGACCACTTAATTCCATTGAGACCTGGATATGGTTGAATAGTTAGGTAACTTTTTCTTAATAATATTTGCCATTAGAAAAAAATAAATGTTGAATTACCCCAATACCTTTTCACGAAGCCAATACATAAATGTTTTATTATGCTCAATTTGTAGCTATTTTTGACTTTGTGATTGACGATGATATTTTAGCTTCAACCAAGACATATGCTCCCTATCAAATCATCAATAAAGCAATATATTATGAGATAAATCTCTAACTTGTGAGAATACATTTAAACAAAAATGTACATGAAACATTCTTACTCAATGTATGGTTGAATGTCACTTGTATTTTCTAACACATAACGATGTGCTTGCTCCCATTCATTACAATCAACAGTAACAACATAACCACTTGATAAAGGCCTTCCAATTTCTATATCATCATCAACTGTCATGTTCTTATTAGAAGGAATCCCGATTGCATCCACTCCAAATAAGTACTATGCACAAAACTCAACAGCTTCTTCTACAATGTAACTTTCAGCAATGCAACCTTCAGGACAATTACGATTACGAACATAACCCTTTAAGATCTTCATGAACCTCTCAAATTGGTACATCCATCTAAAGTGAACTGGTTCACAAAGTCGAACTTCTCTAACAAGATGCACTGTCAAATGCACCATGATATCAAAGAACAAAGGTGGCAAGTACTTTTCAAGCAAACACAATGTCACCACAATATCTTTTTGAATCTCATCTAATTTTCCCACATCCACCACTTTGCTACAAATAACATTGAAAAAGAAACATAACTTGATAATGGCATGTCAACACAAATCGTATTACCACAGATAGTAACTGTTGCGTCAATACATGACAATCATGTGATTTTAGACCATAAAGTTTCAAATCTTACATTGATACACGACTTCCCAAATTTGAAGAGTATCCTTCTGGAACCTTCAATTTCAATAATGTTGTACATACTCTTCTTTTCTCCTCCTTAGACAATGTGTAACATGCTGGAGGCAAGTATGTTTGCTTTTCCTCAATTTGTGGTGCCAATTCTTCACGCAAACCCATTTCTACAAGATCAATGCGAGAATTAATTCCATCCTTTGTTTTTCCTGGAATATTAAGTAACGTACCAATGAGGCTCTCATACACATTCTTCTCAATATGCATAACATCCAAATTATGTCGAACATGTAAGTACTTCCAATATTCAAAATCAAAGAATAATGATTTCTTCTTTCAATATTTTGTACCACCAACATGCAATGCTTTTTTATTTTTCTTTTCCCATATGGTTACAAGCCCTTCAACCTTATTTAATATCTCCTCCCCAGTTAATGGTATTGGAGCTAATCCAAACTCTTGCTCACCATCAAAAGACTTTTTTTGCCTCCGATATGGATGATAGCGTGGAAGAAATTTTCTGTGGCCAACATATGTGTTCTTCATACCATATTTTAATCTGTGAGAACATGTTCCTTCACTGCAAATTGGACATGCATAATATCCCTTTACAGTACAACCGCTCAAATTACCTAATGCTGGAAAGTCGTTAATTGTCCACAACAATATAGCCTTCAGCCTGAAGTG